GATTAATAACATCTCTCCTATATGCCTCACAGCATGGTTAAATGAGGCTCAAAATGGTAAGGTGCTTCCAATCTGTAAATCCAACGTAGTGTGCAATTGTAGAGTAGTCCCCATTTTTGATGAATTCAATGTACACAATTTCATTGACTAAAATTGACTGAAGCAGGGAATTAATTAATTTTATTTACTGTTAAGTGCTGAATTATGTCCCCTCAAATTTCCTATGTTGAAATCCTAACCCCCCAGTACCTCAGAATATGACAGTATTTGGAGATATGAGTGGGCCCTAATCCAATAGGACTGGTGTCCTTATAAGAAGAGAAGATTAGGACACAGACACACACAGAGGGAAGACCATGTGTGGAAACAGGGGAAGACGGCCGTCTGCAAGCCAAGGAGACAGGCCTCAGAAGAAACCAACCCTGCTGACACCTTGATCTCAGACTTCCAGCTTCCAGAATGTGAGACAATTAATTTCTGCTGTTGAAGGCCCCCAGTCTGTGGTACTTTGTTACGGCAGCTCAGGCCCACTCATACATCGACCTTGAATCCCTCACTAAAAAGTTTTCAGATTTGTTGCCAGCGAATGCCATGCAACAAAGGGTCCTAGCCTGGGATGTAGCCTGGACTCAGAATCAAACCAACCTGGGCTACAATTCTGTGTCTGCCATTTCCTAGCTGTGTGATTTGGGAAAATGACTTACTGTCTCTGGATCTTGGATTCTTCGTGTATTATACGTAGGTTCCTACTTCATTGGGTTAAATAAGGACCCAATGAGACTAGATTAAGTGAGGTGAAGTTTAAGAAATGCCTGACAACTGCAAGGCACTAAGTATATGTTAGCTTCCCTTCCTTTCTCTTCAAGATCATACATTCCCAGGTAAAGGGATACCATCTCCACTTGTAGACCGCTTGGTACTTTTACACATCTTCACATTTTCATCTGAGTTTTACTTGATTTTTAGTATAAATAGGAAAGGTAAACATAACCCCATTTTATAGAGAGGGAAAACTAGATTTGGACAAAATACAGAGAGTATATGGTAGAAGAGACTAGAATCCAGGCTTCCTGTTTTTCTGTGACCAGAAGGATGGACGTTCCAAATATGGGACATGGCTATTCCCATGTGGGACAGGAATTTCTATCATTGGAGGAAGGGGAAGAGGGGATGCCAACGGTGTTTTCAAGATACTGCCAAACTATCTAGTAAGAGCTGTAAGTGTTTATATCGTTGATCTAGTAACTCTACTTTGGGAAACAGCCTCCCAGAAAACCCAAAGAAGAAGTGATAATTTGTACAAAGAGGTTTGCAATGGCTTCACATAGAGAACTGAAAGTTTGGACATCATTCAAATCCCCGCTCGGCATGTACCACCACTCCCTCCCACCCACCCCCCCCCCCAAAAAAAAATTAGGGAAACGGTAAAAGAAACGATAATAAATCAATATGCTGACTATCCTGAAGCTACAAATAAGGTCAAATAGATAAATTATTTAACACGCGGAAATGTGTTTGGAAGAATAACAAGTGATGAAAGCAAGGTGCAATTGCACCTGCAGAGGTTGCTTCTGTGCAAACATCAATCAGCCCGCGCCGACAGCCCACGGTGAAACTGGAGCGACAGAAGGGAAATGCTTCATTCATTAGGTCCTTTAATCTGTAGAGACACTTAGATTTTTAAAATGGAAAGGCAAAGGAGTTCTCCCAACACGCGTGAGCCGGGGAACTGCCGCTATTTTAGCTACCTCCTTGCCATGGCCGTAAGTGTAGAGTCCTTCACCGTCCTGGAGATGTAAATTTACCAATGTCCTTACAGGCCGACCAGGGGCAAGGGTGCCAGAGGCGTACTTGCCCATCCCTCAAGCTCCGCGTTTCTCCCTCTTGATGGTTTGGAATCCTGCCCTCTCTCTCTAGGTCTTCTGTCCCTGGAGCCCGGAGCAGACACGGCCCTGCTCTCCACAGCCGGAAACTCTGGGCTGAGTCTCCACCTCCCTCTCCCACAGAACCCTCTTCTCCCCGCAAAACATCTGACAGCCAGGACTGCAAAGCGGATACCTAGCTATAAGGGTAAGAGTTTTCCCAGACCCTTTTTTTTTCTTGTGTAGAGGTAAGGGGACCTTGAGAATCTGAGTCCGAGTCTGAATTTTGACTTAGGTTGGCCCAAGGCCAAGACTTCTGAGTTGGCTCTGCACTGAGTTATTTAAGCCTAAATTTGATCGTCTGCAAAATGAGGTACCGCCATCAACCTTGCGGGGTGGAGTGAGGATAAACGTGGGAAAGACTTGGCCCCATGAAGGAGAGCAAGCACTAAATCCTGCCCCACCCCTCCCCTTTTTCCTCTCCTTATGCTCCACGGTTCCTAATCCAGCTTTCGGTTGTTAGCTCCTCAACTGTGTTTCATTCAATATTTTTGATCCACTGAGGGGAGAAGGAACCTGGGAATGGGCTACCTCCTAGAAACGTCTCTAATTCTTTAAAAGCCTCACATGAAGGAAATCATATTCTAAAACAAGGAACAAATCACAAGTCTTCTCCAGAATAAGGAAGGGAATAAACGAGCACGCTTTTTCTCTCACACGCCTTGCCTAGAGGAGGAACCTGCCAAGGACCTCGTGACTGGGCTCTCTCTACCAACCTTCCCACCCAGGAGAACTTGGACCAGGAGTCCAGGGAGGTGAGTTCGAGGCCCGGCTCTGGCGTGGGCAGATCACCAGTGAGGCTGAGCCTTCCTTACTGCATAACCTGACTCTGACGGATCTCTGCCCCCAAAATCATCCAGACTCACTCTTCCAAAACACACTCTTCATTCTGTCTCTTCTAAGAACCTTCTCTGACTCCTCTCCTCTGATTTCCAGAGGAAATTATGTCCAGCTCCTTCCATCTGGCCTTCACACAGCTCCGTGGTGAGCCTTACCCGCCTTGCCCAGCCCTGTCCATGAGCCCCCTCAGGTCTGTGGGGCCCGTTGCCCAGTTCTGCCTTTCTGCTGTGCTCACTTCTACCTTAAGCCTTTGCTCTTGCTTTTCTCTCCTCGCAAACCAAGAGTGCCTACAAGGCCAATTTTATCCCTCTCTGAAGATTTCCCAGACTACTGCAACCCCCTTTCCCAGCTCCATATGCCTCAAAACCCCCTGGACCCCCATTTCATCAAAAGTTATTCCCTTTGCTCAGGGGTCCCCATTCACTGCCTCACCACACGCAGGACTCAGAATGTTCACAAATGCAGCTGCTGCTGGCTGGCATGGAAAGCTTCTTTCAAAATAAATTAGTGAACAAGGACCCAGGGGCTTTTTCCTGAAAGGAGAATTAGAGGATTTGTTTGAAGACTCTTTTTCATTTTAAAATGTACAAGGACATTAGCCTGAGGCTCCCTTCTAAAGCCAAGAAAAATACAAATTTCTTCTTAGAAGGCAAACATTCTATTTTTATGGATTAAATTTGATACTCAGAATAAATACTTACTACAAGATATTTGTACTACTTTCTCTTAGGTTAACACCAGAGGTAACTGGGCAATGGCCTCCAGTGGAGCTGGGGCATTGCTGAGACTTAGGAGAATGAGAAGGGGATATCAAAGGTCAGAGGTGAAAGGGCGCTAGACACCCACACACTGGCTAAAATAAATTCTGGAAAATTATTTCATAAAGATCATCATAAAGCAGATTATATTTTCCTCATGGAAACCATATTATAACTGGAAGTTGATTGAGCACCATTAATATACCTTGAAAGTAAATATGTACCATTTATAAAATAGTTCTTTAAATATCTATAAAAAAATTTATTGAGAATTGGCATAAACACATCACAAATATACTATATATGCTGGTTAAAAGAGGGGTTCCTGGGGCCGGCCCGGTGGCACAGCAGTTAAGTTTGCACGTTCCTCTTCTCAGCGGCCCAGGGCTTGCCGGTTCGAATGCCAGGTGCGGACATGGCACCTCTTGGCAAGCCATGCTGTGGTAGGCGTCCCACGTATAAAGTAGAGGAAGATGGGCATGGACGTTAGCTCAGGGCCAGTCTTCCTCAGCAAAAAGAAGAAGATTGGCAGTAGTTAGCTCAGAGCTAATCTTCCTCCAAAAAAAAATAGGGGTTCCATAATACACATAAACACATGAACAATGTACAATTCTACTGCATCATATATTTTTATCTACAACTAACGTATTAGTCATAATACTTGTAAATATCTAATTAATACTAGTTTTCCTTGCCTTCTTGGTATTTGGACAAGTTTTGAGAGGATGATTTGCATGGTCCGGGTTTCCTAAAGAGTTCATTGGAAGAGTTTGAACAGACATAGCAAATAGAAGTATTCAAAATGATATGGTTAATCTTGAAGTGACCTCAGAGCCTTGTGGGTGGTGAACTCAGCATGCGGGGATGGCAGGCAACGTGTGAAAACCAAAGAGAGCACTCCACATTTATTTTATAAGGAGAAAAGAAAGTCAGTGAAATTTTTGGTGGTAGGTGGTAGAGAGGGGGACCAATATGGATGGCAGCAACAGATACTAGGATGACAGTGTCCACATTCTCTTTGTTTTGCCCAATTTTGTGTGTCAATTTGGCTAGGCTCTTGGTGCCCAGTTGTTTGGTCAAACACTAGTCTGGATGTCTCTGTGAAGTTATTTCTTAGATGTGATTACCTTTAAATCAGCAGACTTTGAGTAAAGCAGATTACCCTATAATGTGGGTGGGCCTTGTCCAATCAGCTGAAGGCCTTAAGAGCAAAGATTGAGATTTCCAGAGAAGAAACAGTTCTCCCCAAGATTGCAGCATAGAAACCCTACTTGAGTTTCCAGCCTGCTGTCCTGCAGGACTCAGATTCAAGACTGCGACACCAACTCTTACCTGAATCTCCAGGCTGTTGGCCTGCCTTACCAATTTTAGACTTGCCAGCCCCCACAATCAAGTGAGCCAATTCCTTAAAATAAATCTAGATAGAGTGATGGATGGATAAATAATGAGATAGATAGATAGTTGATAGCAGATAAAGACATAGATAGATAGATAGATAGATAGAAATATCTAATTCTATTGGTTCTATTTTGCTGGAGAGCCCTGACTAATACACTCTTCTAGCACCAGCGGGCCCAAGATGGGAACAAGTTGTGCAAAGAGGGGCCGGGACAGCAGAGAAGCTGCAACAAGTGAGGAAAACTATGGCCTAGAAATCCAGTTCACTCTATCCATTGGCCACTTTTTCAAAGGCCAAAAAAAACCTTCTGAGGTTATTGGACGGCCCTGGACACCACAGTTTTTAGAAGTAAGAGCCATCAGTTCAGAATCACTGGCCCAGGAGACGATCGCCAGAAACCCCCAGGGCATCAAAAATCCAGAAGGAAGCCACAGACACTTTTGTGAACTGATCAGATGAACTTAGATATGAGGCTGAGTCACCTTGATGTCTTATCACTAAAGACCCTCTCGAGAGATTTCCATAGTCCTTCCTACGGCCAAGGACCAGGGGCCATCAGGTAAATGCTTCACTATCAACCACGAGGTTTAGGGCAGGAGCAAGGGCTCCAGAGCCAGAGAACCTGATTCCACCACTTTCTGTCCTTGAGAAGGGACAAGGAAAAACCTGTGTTCTCATTTGTGAAATGAAGATAAAGACCAGGCTTACAGGGTGACTGGAACAATATATGAATAGAAACTGAAACCAGCTGCTCACTCTAATTCTGCTCTGTTCGCAAGACAACTGCTAGGACACCTCACACGGGGAAAACAATCCCCTCTGGCTGCGACACAGGGCCCAACGTAGGGGTCCCCAGAATTGTGAGGAGGAGCTAATTTTCACATCTTGGAGAGCAGATCCCTAAGGGAAAATATTGGCTGAGAGACGGTGACCGGCAGTGAGGCTCCTGAGGAAGAGGAAATCGGATTCTGGCAGGTGAAGCGTCTCAGCAGGGCAAGGACGAGAGTGTTGCCAGAACACCCTCCAAACTGGGAACCCCACAGTCCTTAAAAGGGAGGGAGGAACCCAGTGGGCTCCAAGATAAGAACAACAACAAGCCACTTTACAATTGTTAACTCGTTTGACTCTTACAATGATCCTCTGCAGTGTAATTAGACTATCTTTATTTTTTTCTTTTGCAGATCGAGAAGCTAAGGCTCCAAGAGGTTGACACTTGGCCAAGTTGAGATTGTAAGAGGGCAGCAGGGCCCACACACAGGTACGTGTGCTTCTGCACCTGCCCTCTTTCCACATACCTCATTCACAACATCATGAAGGGCCAGCTCTGGGCTGAGACCTTATTAGGAGCTGAGGTACAATGACAAACAAGGTAGACAAGGCCCTAAGACTCACAGAAAGAACAATAAACAGGTAAACAATTTTTTTAAATGAAAAGATATTTTCAGAGAATGATCAAGAGTGAACAGGGCCCGGCCCAGTGGCTCAGTGGTTAAGTTCACACGTTCCGCTTCGGCGGCCCAGGGTTCACCAGTTCAGATCCTGGGTGGAGACCTACGCATCGCTTATCAAGCCACTCTGTGGCAGGCATCCCACATATAAAGTAGAGGAAGATGGACACAGATGTTAGCTCAGGGCCAATCTTCCTCAGCAAAAAGAGGAGGCTTGGTGGTGGATGTTAGCTAGGGCTAATCTTCCAAAAAGAAGAGTGAACAAAACATCCACCCTCATGGACCTTTTGCCTAACAAAGAAGATGGACATTAAACAAGCACAAATGCATTAAGTCTTACGAAGGAGAAAGGCAGGATGTGATGGAAACACGGACTAGGCAGGAGTGGGATGGGATAAAGCAAAGGCTTCTGGGAAGAAGTGAGGTTAAGCTGAGAACTGGAAAACGAGTAGGCATTATATAGACAAGTTTAGGGTGGGAGACGGGTGGGGGTTTGTATTCGAGGCTAAAGGAAGGACACAGAGGATGGCCCTGAGGTAAGAAAGGGTGTGGCACGTCCCAAGAGCAGAAAGCAGTGCACACTGAGGCATGAACACCTCACAGCGTCCGTGTAGCCGGCCCAGTACGCGAAGCCCGAGGCCAACGGGGCCAATCTTGCTCTAGAGACCCAGGTTAAAGCACGTTTATATTAAAACAAGGCTGTGCGATGGCACAAGGTGTGAAAATCTGTACATATTTTGAGTTCAGTATGAGGCTTCAAAGAAATCTCCAGCTTGGAAGTGGCCCCTGTGACTACCTTTCACCCTCGTCCACGCTGTCGGGGTCACAGATCCTACAGACCAAATCCAAACCAAGCCCTCAAGGCAAATGTGTAGGATTTAAGCAGCCCAACTTCAATATGCTTTACCGTCATGCAGCACTTGACGACGGGGATCCATTCTGAGAAATGCATTATTAGGCGATTTTCTCATCATGCAAATATGACAGAGTGAACTTACACCAGCTTGGTGGTATAGCCTACCACACGCCTAGGCTATGTGGTGCTAGTCTTATGGGACCACTGTCATATATGCAGTCCGTGGTTGACCAAACTTCATTTTGCGGCGCATGACGATATTTCAAAGAGCTAAATCGGTGGCCGTTTTCCCCACAGGTACCTGCTTGATACAGCTCTCAAGCTGAACGTCAGGCAGCCTTCCTTGGGTCTAAAGGCCTGCACGCTGTGGGGAAGTCTGAATGCCTCCTCTGGCACTCCCTTCCCTGTCCTTCCTAAAGGAACGTGCAGCCCCACACTGAGATTCTGAGCCTTGGCGCAGCAGCACGAATGGGCACGCGAGAGCGCCTGAGCGGAGAACAGAGAGAGATAAGTCGAAGTGATGTGCTTACATCAGAAGCGGCAGAAAATGTCAGTGATTAAATTTAAAAGTCAGTTTTAATTCTGAGAATATGGAAGTCAAAGCCCATTCGGTGTCAGATTGAGCTAATAGATTAAAAATTCAATCAGAAATAATAAAGACTTGTCAACCATTGTAGAAGCCCCTCCAATCCCTTCTGTGACAGCAGCTAAGTGAGCCTGGTAAGAATGCAAATCAGGTCCGATCGCTCCTGCCTGAAACCCTGCCATGTGCCCTCACAGTAGGACCCACACTTCTCCCCGTGGCCGCAAGGCTTTACGCCTCTTTCTCCCTGGCTCACCATCCTTGAGGCACACTGCCCTCTCAGCTCTTCCACCCCGCCAAGCTCCTTCCTGTCTCTGAGCCCCCGTGCAGGCTGTGCCCTTTGCCTGCAATGTGCTTCTCCCAGCTAGTATCCGCCTCTCAGCCTATATGTAAACTCCTGAGAGCCGCCTTCCCTGACTGACGTCCCATCTAAGTAGCGTCTGCCTGGGTCAGGCCCACCTCCAAGCCCTTTATCACCTTCAGAGCACTGAAGCCAATCTGCTTAGTGTCTTTACTTGTCACCTGTCTTCCCCACCAAAATGCCAGCTCACGGAGCACAGAGGTCTTGCCTGGCTTGTTTGCTGGTAAAGTCCTGGTGGGAGATGCTTATCCATGGATTGCTCATGTTCCCATGTGTCTTGTGAGAGTGGTTCCTTGTTCCGGACCACCCTTTCAAGGATGGTTGTTTAGTGAACAAGGCTTGGGAAGTCTTGAGTCAGCTCCCTCCAGAGCGCAGTCAGGTCTGCGTCCCGTGCGGTGGAATAAAGCTGCAGGTTCTAGAGCCAGGAGATTTTTGCAGGGAGAGCGTGGCCAGGGGTGATAAAGAAGCCCTGAGAAGGCTGTTGTCATGTTCGGTGGATTAGAAATCATGGCCGCAGCACCTTTCAGCATCTTCCTCCAAGAGGTGGTGTCTTTCTCCTCACCCCTTGAGTCTGGGCTGGGCTCCACACTTGCTTTGGTCAACTGGATGTGGGAAAGGTGAGTTCCAGAACTTAAGAGGCCTGTGGTTTCCACTCTCTCTTCTTTTCACCCAACCACCATGTAAAGAAGTCCAGGCTCTTCTGCAGGAGAGAGGCCACATGAAGCAAGAGACTCTGAAGGAGGAGAGACTGAGGAGAGAGAGGCCACATGAAAGAGACCCAAGACCGCCCGGCTGACAGCCGAGGCCCCATCCATGTGAGGGGGTCCTGGTGGATCCCAGCTGACACCACATGGTGCAGAGACAAGCTGCACCCACTGAGCTCTGCCCACATTCCTGACCCACAGATTCATAAGCAACAAAATAGCTGTTTTTACCCACAGAGTTTGGGGGTTCTTTTCTCCACGGCAATGGATAACTGAACGAGGGTAACAGAAGGGGAAATGAAAATACACCTCAATTAACTGAAAGTTTTCAGAGCCCAATCTTAGAAACTATACGGGAAGTCAGACTATAACTGAGCCCTCTGACTCTGCATGTCAACTCAGCCAAAAAAAGCAAAATCTGACACCAAATTCTTGAAAGATAATCTTAAAGGTGAGACAAAGGGCATTAGGGATTTTACAAGGTATGTCACATAGGAAGTGTCCTAGAATCTCTCTTTATCAAATGTCTTTCACAAAGAGCCACTGCCAAAAATCAGCCCCTCTCTTTCCCTCTCTCTCTCCTCATACACACATGCACACACGTGTAGACACACGCACACACGTACACATCACAAAGACACATACACACCCATGCGTGCACACACAGTTCCCCACCTCCCGGCCTCTCCTTGCATTTCCTCCTGCGTCACTGGTTGTCTCTCTGTGGCCACTGACCCTCACAGCTTTCCGGAGTCCCCTGGGAAGCACAACCTCTCCTCCTTCTCTGACTCTGCTCCTTCTGTGAGGAGCAGCCACTTGGAATTCAGATGAGCCCGTTCTCCACCTCATCACTTCCTCGAGCCATCATGGCCACCCTGGCCAGGACCAGCCCCATGTATTTTCACGTATTTGCTCTCTTTCCTTCAGATTCTACAGTTGAACACCCAGGCATCCTTTCAGTTCCAGCCCAAATGCCACTTTCCGTGCCCTTCACTCCCACCGCCCACGTAAACATACCAGCTGGGATTAGCTACTTGTTTTGTTGACCCATGTCACCCTTCTATCTTGTTATACACAGGTCTGACCGCCTCAATAGTTGATCATCTGCTTAAATCAAGTGCTGTGTCTTATTAATCTTTGTAACCCCACAGGGTCTAACTCAATACCATGCACGTGGCAGGCAGTCAGCAGATATTAGTCAAACTGGATATAATTTAAACTAGGTCATAATTCAGGTCCATTTAAAAGAAGTCACGTTCACTGAGATAAGTTGGGGACATTTGCGTACTGAGTTAGTCCAAACTGGAAGCAACATCAAATAATAAATTATTTAAAACATAAAAATTACTTTATATTTGAACCAAAAAACTAATGGCTTTTGTTTGGGAAGTGAGAATGAGTGATTTTTTTCTTCTACTTTTCAGCGTTTTCTGAAATAAATGCATGCTTATTTATAACAAAAATTAACTTTTAAATGAGTAAATCGGAAAACAGAAATCATGTTATCATTTATGTTTAGTCCACTGGATGCTTTTTTCCAAAATGATATTAAGGCAGGTATCCTTGTTTCCTCAGCCTGAAAGAATCATTCACCAGTTTTTTGACTCTATCAGCTGAATATTCCACCAAAGAGAGAAAGATGATGTGTGGTCCAGCTCTCCAACAGAGAGAAACCAAGCCTCTCAAAGCTGGTCAACCCGCATGCCCTGCTGGCTGGCTTCCCTGTGTCCAGCTCATCCTTGGGATTTAATCTGAGTCCTAGACTTATGGGTGAAATTCCCCCGTCCCATCCGGAGGAATTATCAAACTGGCTCTAATTTCATTATTCAAAATCTTTTCAAAGTTAAACTTCAAGAAACACCTCTGTTCTCATTTTGGGAAACTTCATCTTGATCTCTTTCCTCAAGAGATCTCGAGGGGCCGGCCCTGTGGCAGAGTGGTTAAGTTTGCACACTCTGCTTCAGCGGCCCACGGTTTTGCCAGTTCGCATCCTGGGCGCGGACATGGTGCCACACATCAGGCCATGCTGAGGCAGCATCCCACATGCCACAACTAGAAGGACCCACAACTAAAAATATACAACTATGTACCGGGGCGCTGTGGGAGAAAAAGGAAAAATAAAATCTTTTAAAAAAGAGATCTTGAGTTGTCTGTACGTTAAGTAAGATCTTAGCTCCTCAGTCTAGCATGAATATCCCCCGGCGCCGCCTGGTCCAGCCGGCCCATTCAGCTTCATCTCTAGAGACTCTCCAGACTGTGTTTCTCAGAGAGGCTGGCAGAGCACCCACGTCAGAATCACCTGCATGCAGGTTAAAATGTGGACTTCTGAGCCCACTTGCCAAAGCAGAATTGAGAACAAGTTCCCCAGGTGATGTTCTGGCCAATAAAAGGTTGAGAGCCGCTTGTCCAGAGCCGCCAGACCACCTGAAATTCCTCCAACATAGCACGCATTTCTGCGCCCTCTACCTGGAACGCCCTCTCTGCCTCCTTTGCTGACGCCTGCTTATTTCTCTAGACCTAGCACAAATGTCACCTGCCCCATGTAGACTTCACTAGCCCTCTGCTGTCGCCTGAATGTTTGTGACCCTCAAAATTCATTCATTGAAGTGCTAACCCCCAGCGTGTTTAGAGATGGGCCTCTAAGGAAGTACTCAAGGTTAAATGAGCTCATGAGGGTGAGGCCCTAGTCTGATAGGATTAGTGTCCTTATAGGAAGAGACCCCGGGGAGCTTGCTCTCTTGCGCACAAAGTACTGGTCATGCGAGCACATAATGAGATGGCAGCTGCCTACAAGCCCAGAGAAGAGGCCTCAGCAGGAAATCTACCTGCCGGGACCTTGATCTTGGACCTCCCAGCCTCCAGAACTGGGAGAAAACAAAGTGCTGTTGCTTAAGCTGCCCAGACTATGGTACTTTGTCAAGCAGAATAAATTATTTCCTCGACTGGTCCCCATCACTTTGTGCTGTAATTGGCTGGATCCTTGTCTGGTCTCTGCTGGACGGGGGCTGCTTGAGGCCAGGTTGCCCCCGGCACCCAGCACAGGGTCCTGTTAGAGCTGACAGCAGTAGAGGAGAGGTGATATTGGAGGTGGGTGAGGACCAGGTCAGGAGGGTATCGAGGGGCAGTCTAATGAGTATAGCATGGAATAAACACAATGTGTGGCAAGGCCACAAACTTCCAAATCCCGAAGACCACATTTAAATCCTGTACTAGTCCTTACTGGCTATATGACCCCAAGGAGGTCACTGAAGCCTGCCTGAATCTCCATTTCCTCACCTGAAAAATGAGGAAGGTACCACCTACCTTCCAGGCAGGTTGCCAGATAAAATGCAGGATGCCCAGGTAAATTTGAATTTCAGATAAATAACAGTTTTTATAAGCAATATTTGTGACATATTTTACTATGAAAAATTATTTTTTATTTATATGAAATTTGAATTTAATGAGGCATCCAGTATTTTATTTGCTAAATCCAAGAACCTATCCAGGGGTACAGAGAGGATTAAATAAAATGATTACAAGGTCCTGTCAGTGGAATGCATATAGTAGGCAGCCAGTGGTAGCACTTATTAAACAACAGGAAATCATTAACATTACTTGAGCAAGAGCCTGACAGAACCATCCATCTTAGGTGTTCTAAATTTAGCTCTGGCCAAAAACAATTATCTGAGATTTCTTAGGGTGCCTAGAAGTAGAAAGTCGAAGTCATTTAAAATATATCACATAAGTAGCTTTCAATTATAACTTTATCTTTTGCAGGTTCTGCCCCAGCAACTTTGTAATCTATCCGTTTTGAAGAGTCTAGAGTCTCTGTGCATAATGAATGGGGATAATCATTCTCTACCAGAATGCCTTGGCTTCGATGATACAGTGTATCAGACATATGGTCTGACTCGAATGACAATTGACTAAATCATTGTTTCCACTCAATTAACTTACAGCCCCGGGTAGCGGAGCCAGAGTTCTGGGCTCCAGTCTCCTGACAAGCCCCCTCTCCATAAATGGC